CTCTCTGCCTTATCCCCTTGAGACAGTCTCTCACTGAACCTGGAGCCAGGCTGGTAGCCAGCAAGTCCTGATGAGAGCCTCAAGGAGAAATGAGATGTGGGCTCAGTTTCAGTGACAGAAGATCTGCTCCTGGTAAAGCCTCTGATGCCTTTACCCCTCAGCTGCAGAAGAAGTAACTGCACCAAGGCTTCCCTGAAAGGCCCGAAGATACTAGAATCCCATCCCTCGGAGAAGTTCCAGGTTCTAGTCTCTTCTACAACTGATACAAAAAATATTTTATTTATTCTTATTTTATGTGTACGAGTGTACTGTCTGCATGAACATAAGTGCGCTGGTTTTGTGCAGTGGCCACAGAGATCAGAAGAGGACACTGGATCACCTGAAACTGGAGTTACACATAGTTATTAGCTACCATGTGGGTGCTGTGACTTGAACCTGGGTCCTCTGCAAGACCAGCCAGTGCTCTTAACCACTGAGCCATCTCTCCAGCCCCCTAAACGAAAGCTTTTTAAGAGGTTTACACAATTTATACCTCCAGCATTAGAAATAATGGAAAAGTGAAAGTATATGTCTTAAAAAAAAGCCTCAATAATATTTTATAAAACGTTGGCAATTTAAAATAGTGGAGGAAAAAAATAACTAAAGATACTAACAAAAGCAAAATAACCAAAAAGCTAAAAAGAAAATTTGACATTAGAAGAAATATGCTACAAAAGATAATTGAGGGCAATTGCATTGGGATTGTCTATAAGACTTGGCAGACTTTCATTATCACAACCATATTTTAAGGTCTTGTTTCATGATGCACAGCTGCTTGCTTTATTTTAGGGCACAGCTCTCCTTGGAGTTTCTATATTTTCTACATGCTGCTGCTCTTTTTGAAACTTCTACAATTCCATATACACCACCATGAACATTCCACATTACATGTTCCCATCCTCTGTGCCAGCTCTCTGTTGAATATGTGAAAATCTCCTTGTGCACTTGTATCCAGACCACAACTCTGACAGAAATAACACTGATGATTGAATAGCAATATTGTTGCCTGAGTGTCTTCATACTCTACTTGCACTCAATTGTTTTCAAAGCTCTAGTCAATAACTTAGTTGGTTTCTTTAAGCAATGAAGCTTTCATTCATTAAGAGCTCCTAGAATTGGGTTAGGAATGGTGGCCCAAGCCCTTAACCTCAGCACTCAGGAGGAAGAGGCAGGAGGATCTCTGTGAGATCGAGGCCAGCCTGGTCTACATAGTAAGTTCCAGGTGAGACCCTGTCTCAAAAAAGACAAAAAAAAAAAAAAAAAAAAAAAAAAAAAAAAAGCCTCTGAAATGGCATCAGATAGAAATGTAGAAATGTCAGTGCAGAAGACAAATAATTTAAGACAAATTTAAGATGAATTATCACATTGAAAGGTCAATCATTTCTCCAGAATTTAGTTTTCTACCTTTCTCATTTTTCTACCTGTAGCCATTTTTCTCATGGAAACCTGTGTGTGTGTGTGTGTGTGTGTTACATGCACATGACAGTATAGATGTGTTGAGCTCATCCATACATATGTGGAGGACAGGGCAAGGCACCAGATATCTTTAGCAGTCTCCAACATACTGCTTTGAGGCAGGGTCTCTCACTACACTGGAAGTTTGCTCTTTTAGCTAGGCTTACTAGCCACTGAGGCCTTGGGATCCTCCTCCTCAGTGCTGGGGTTACAGGTACATGCAGCCTGCTCTTTTACTTGTGTGACAGTGATTCAAACTCAGGTCTTCACTCTCTCATGCTTTCAAAGCACCCACTCTTACCCACTGAGTAATCTCCCCAACCCCTCTCATGGAAAATGTTTAAAGATTTTCTCTTGCAGGATTTCAGTATTGGGGATTTTAATATTTTAGGATTATGAATTTTGACCTTATAGACTTTAGATATTTTAGTGTTTGAGGATTTCAACATTTAGGAATGAGGCATTCCAGACTCTACCTCTTGGGATTAGAACTGGCACCAGAGATAGTGGTATCTCATGGTGGTTTAATATGCACCTCGATACCCTTTCACATGGTTATTAGCCACTTAGAAAACCCCTTTGGTAATGTGCTTATTTGGGTTTCTTGTGTGTTATTTGATGGGGTGGTGTATATTTTCACTCTAGATTTGCAGTTTTGTTAATAAAAGTCTGTTATCTGGAATAGGTCTGCCTTGTAACTCATAACAGTGAAGATCTCAAGTGATTAGTGTTATCTAAAACTTTTTCCCTCAAGTCTTGACTATTTTTTCCCACATTCTAAAAATGTGATTCTTTTATCTTCCTCTTTAGATGTACACTCTATTGAAAACTGACTTTTTTGCCTGGGATGAATAAAGGTCAAATCACCTTTTCTTCCTATATGGACATATTTTGAGGCTCCACAGTTTACATATGTTGGCCTTTTACTTATTAGCTTTCTTTTGTAAGGATGAGTCATAGATAACACATGTGCTTTTCTTGGAGGAAGATAACAATATGGTGTTTTGTACATAATACGCATTCAGTGTGTTGGTGGAATGAATAAATGACATTCAAATGAACTATTAGTTGACATTTATGTAATATTTAGAGAAAACCATAGGCTTCTTTTCAGTTCAGATTTAGTGAATAGGTATGTTGCAAAGGCTAAGTAAAACTAGATTTCTTAAATAATACACAGTAGCTCTGCCCATGGTGAAGCCCTTTTCTTCCCTATGATTCAATCTCTTTTGTTCTACCCTAGGTTTCGAGAGAAGAGGGTAAAGAGAGTTGTAGAGATTCATGTATATACCAGACCAGACAGGCATTCAATATAGATGTTCTTGGGCTGGAGAGAGCACTGGCTGCTCTTGCAGAGGACCCGGGTTCAAATCCCAGCACCCACACAGCTACTAACAACCATCTGTAACTCCAGTTTCAGGGGATCTGACACTTTCTTCTGCATCTGCATGACACGGGTGCACTTTCATACATGCAGGCATAATACTCATACACATAAAATAAAAGTAAGTTTGGAAAAATTTTTAAAAAGTAGAAGTTCTAGCTAAGTAGAAAGAGAAGGTACTAGCAAGAGTTTCCCATGATGTAGAAGATGAAACCATAGTGGTCAACAAATAACCACTCAGTTTCACAAACAGGAATCCTAGTCATCTCTGAACTAAAACAACAAACCTTAGAAATATTCTGGCTCAATCCCATCACTTTATAAGGGAGAAATTTGAGGAAGTAGAATCCAAGTCTTCACTGACTGACAGTCACCTACTGCTGTGTAGCAAATCATTTGAAATCCAGGAACTTAGGACAACTATGATCACTTATTATTTCTCTTGTCTCAGCTCAGTTGAGCTTCAGACTAGGGTGTCCTCATGCAGGTACAGACAGATGGTGGTTGAGGCTGGAATCTTCTGGAAGGTTCTTACCTTAAGTCTGGTAGAGGGGCCTCAGATAGGCTATCAGTCAGATCACTACACCTAGACCCCTAGTCTCTCCTCATGGCCTGGTCTTCTTAACAGAATGGTGACTACGCTCCAAGAATAAGCATCTCCAGAGGAAACAGGCAGTATTACTATCTATGATCCAACGATCCAACTTTTTTTTTTTTTTTTTTGACAGGGTCTCCCTGGTCACAGCCCACCTGGAAGTCACTATGTAAACCAGGGTGGCCTCCTTCTCACAGAGATCCACCTGCCTCTGCCTCCCAAGGGCTGGGATTAAAGGTACAAGCCACCACACCTGGCATGATCCAACTTCTTAAATCACAGCATCACTTAACCTGAGATCAGAGGCCCACTAAGACTCAAGGATACAGACATAGCTCTCCATGAGAGGAGAGGCCATATCTCATTGTAAGAAGACAACACGGAGACCTTGTTGCAACCATTTTGAATCCGTTCTCTGCACAGATGCCCTTCCTACATGTCTCCTTAGGATTATCTTGTAAAGTTCTGTCACATGTGCGACACTATTTCTGATGTGCTTCTTCTACTACAGGAGCTCCTTCCCACAAGCACTCAGATCATTACAGTGACCTCTTTAACCTGATGCTTAGGAGATGCTCAAAACTTCCCAGAATCAATAAACAAGTGAAATTTAAATTTCAAGCTAGACGTATTTAAAACCATTTCTAAAGTTCCTCTATCCTAAGCTGGGTCAACTGAAAAGACTGGTGTCTTTTAGGACTGTTACAAGTTTTAAGTTTAATTAAGAACGTATTTTCAGGGTGGGCAAGATAGGTCAGTGGGTAACTTGCTGACCAGGCTGGTAGTTGAGTTTGATCCCTAGAACCCACATGGTAGAAGGAAAAAACTGATTTTGCAAGTTGTTCTCTGACCGCCACACATGCACCCAAGCACGGATGCGCTTAGGCACAAATGAATATTAAAAAAAAGAACATATTTCTGTATTTGATTAATCTATCATTAAGTCATGTCTGGTAAGGTTATTACAAACTGACATGTTATATCCAACAGCTTTAAATGATTTTCAGCAATGAAAATGCTCTTCTTAATATTGGTATGTTTAAAATAACGTGTTTATTTTTTTCCTCAAAACTGGTGGGATATTTTATGACAAATATCCTTATAAGGAAACTCATGTAAAGCATCACTGTTGTTAATAATACCAAATCAGTTTAAAACCACTCCAAGAATTTAGTGTATTCAAGTGTAAGCAGGCAATTTAAAAAGTATTTACTCATAAATTATGTATTTTTGTACTATGGATATAGCCACTCAAGCCTAAATTATCACTGTAAAATCAAATTATTTTCTTCTCCTTGTCAGCAAATATCACCAAGATGAAATAAAATTATATAATTCCAAACTTGAAAATTAGCTAAGGTGCTTCCTGGCCTGAGCTAGGCACACCTGTCAATAGTACGTGGCAATGCTTCTTTTAATAACTCTGTATGTGGTACAGCCTTTGTAACAGTATCGAATATTAATCCTCACAAGGCACTGTTAGCCATGCATCTCAGCCAATAAGGACCGACACTCAGCAGCACTTACCAATCAGCACCTGACCACTCTTCAAAGCAGAGCCTCCAGGCAACAGGCCATGCACCACAAGCCTCTCTCCCTCAGCCTGCTTGCCACCTCTCCTCCAGCTCCACTTCTTCTGATGGATTATTCCCACCAGCACTTCCAGGAGTTTGAGCTGCTCCCTGCCTTTCATGATGGTTAGCTTTTTGGGGTTGATATAAACATTCACATCTTTGTACTGCTGTTGGACAGTGATCCCTGTCTTCTGGTTGGAATGATGTTTTAGAATAGACACAGGCCCATCGTCTTTGCTGTTCTTTTTGTTGTAGCGCTTAGGTAAAAGTCTTTTACTTTTCAAAATCTTGGTAAAGCGCTTGAGTGTGGGTTCATACTTTTTTCTTTCTTGGTAATCATCAGCTTCAATGATGATCTCGTTCTCACTGAACCTGACGTGGTTCACAATTGGTGTCTCAGGAAGGAGGCTTTCTTCCTCATCCTCACTCAATTCCAGATAAAACAGTTCTCCATTTCTCTGCACACTGTCTAGCCATTCAGGCTCCAGATCACTGTGATAGAGAGAAAAGGTCACTAAAAAGGCAGCCCACCATGAGAAACCCATTTCATTTCGAGGGGAAGGGGTTGGCTGGGCAGTGCAGAAAGGGAGGAGGGAAGATATATTCCTGTGAGGAGGTGGGGAGCAACAATGGGTATTTCAGATAGGGACGTGGTGGGGGGTTCATCTTCCTGTGAGGGAGTGAGGCTGGGTAGTGCAGACAGGGAAGTGGGGAGCGAGGCTGGGTATTACAGACAGAGATGGGGGAATCATCTTTTGGGGTAGAGTGAGACTGGGTAGTATGGTAGTGTACAAGGAGGTAGGGGGAATTAAGGTTCTTAGACCCTTTTAAATACCCCTTATCAGCTCTAACTTATTGTGAACATCAATGTTATTTGTTTTAGGATGCTTTTTATGGAGCCTTGAAGAGCAGAGAAGGGAATCAAAAAGACATAGTGACAGAAAAAATCAGGAGAGAGGTGCACAGAGATATTTTCTATCATCAATAGGGTTATGTTTTAAAAAATAAAACTAATTCAGGCTCATATCTGTAATTCCAGCACTTGAGAGGGCTGAGGAGGAGGATAGCCATGCATTCAAAGCCACCCTGGGCTACATAGTGAGTTCCTGGCTAACCTGAACTACAGAGTGAGACCCACCTCAAAAGGTCAAAAACAGCAACAACAATAAGAAAAAAACAAATTCAGTGGCTGAAGAGACAGTTCAGTGAGGAAAGTGCTTGCTGTGCAGGCATGAGAATCTAAGTTCAGATCCCCAGTACCCCCCCAACAAAAGTTAGCCTGATGGCACATGTCTATAACCCTAGTCCTGGGGGACAGAGACAGGTAGATCCTGGGGGCTCACTGGCCCATCAGTCTAGCTGAAAGGGCGAGTCCAGGTTCAGTGAATGACTCTTACCACAAACAATGAGGTAGAGTTCAATAGAGTTGACTTCAACCTTTGGCCTCCACACACATGTAGTAGGAGAGCATACCACATCCACACACATCTACTACACACACACAAATATACAACTCATCCAGCCACTGTGTGGTTACTGTTCACTCTGGGCAGTTTTGAGTTTAGATTAGCCATCGATCATGTGATCACATGCACAGGCACAGAAATTAGGTAGTGGGCAAGTATACATGAAAAGCTCCTATTTCATGGAAAGTATTTCACCATGGCAGCCAGGTTAAATGAAGCTTGGCTTCCTTGCACTTAAAATCATGGCTGAAATCAACCAGCTATAATCATAGTTTATAATAAGCCTATCTATAACCTGTAATTTTGGTAAAATTCCTCTTGATGAGTAATCATACTAAGAAAAGTAAAGCACATATTACATAATTCATTCTGTGTGAAAAACAATACTTTTAATAGGAAAGCAGTCCATTTAAAAACCAAAATAATCGCCATTAAAATTTTGCTGGAGAGATGGTTCAGCAGTTATGGGTTTGAATCCCAGCACCCACATGGCAGTTAACAACCATCCATAACTCCAGTTCCAGGGGATCTGATGCCCTCTTCTGACTTCCATGGGTATTGCACAACATGGGTGCACTTATATACATGCAGGCAATACACATTAAAAAAAAGTAAAACACTTTTAAAAATAAAATTACTAAAACAGCACTAAACAACAAAACCACCCATTTTATGATAGGAAACCTAATCACACAATTGCTATTCCACACTGTAGTTTACCTTCCAAACTGCTATTTTTTAAGGTCATGGTTTCTCTGTAAAATCAACATGTGGGTGAATGAGCCAAAACATCCTGGCAGGAAAGAGTATAATTTATGTTCTAATCAATCAACCAGATAGAAAAGACTTTTCTGTTTTCTTAAATGTTTATTAGCAACTCTGGGTCTTTAACTTAAATTTTTCTAAGTATTGCTTTCTGAACACTGAAAATTTGTCTCCCAAATACCCTATTTTACTACTGTTCTCGTCTGTGACTTGTAAATAACATAGAATTTTCAAATATGTATGAGTCACTTAAAAAAAAGCCATAGGTAACTCAAAATATCAAAACTGACATTTACCTGGTCCTAGATCATTCCCAAATATGTGGCATCATTTCAGATGCTCAGTATCACCACAGATCAGGAGCCATTTATATCAGTTGCTTCAACCACACATTTTATCCTCACAGAAGTCATTATTCAAAATAATTCTGCAGCCCTGCTCTGAAGAGTCTAAATAACTGTGCACCTATCTTAAGCCTTTAGAAAACAAGTGAACAATAACTTTAACTGGTACAGTGTAAATAGTATGATCACTTATTACTATAGTTTGGATACAAAGTGCCCCCCAAAAGGCTGCTGTGTTGAAAGCTTTGCCCCAAGGCACGTTGCTTAGAGAGGTGACAGGATTATGAAAATACTAACCTCTGAAACCAGGAGCCAAAATAAATCCTTCCTCACTTAGGTTATTTGTCTTAGGAATTTTGTCAGTGATGAGAAGTGACTGCTATATTATTATAAGTTATTACTTATCAAGACACAGATCAACTTAAATGAGTGAAGCATATCAGCTTTAAAATCTCATCCTTGTAGTTGGTATGCTCTTTGTATTAGATACATGGCCACTTTTTACTTGCTAAATAGATGGATGGCTTGTCTAATCTTAAAATTTTGAATGTGAAACGACTTTTTGGTTATGATTTAATGATCCATGAAGTTGGATTGTACATCAAACAAACAGGGACAGACACTGTAGTAAGTGTCAGCATTAGCACAATGAAAACACCTCTGTTGTTCCAGGACAGTGAGACGGCTCAGCAGGGACTGCACTTGCTGCCTAGTCTAATGACCTGAGTTGGATTCCTGGTGGGAGGAGAGAATAGATTCGACAAAAGTTGTCCTCTGAGTTCCACATGTGCACTATGGCCTGCACAAATACATACACACACACAATAATAATAATAATAATAATAATAATAATAATAATACAAAATCAGAGTTAAGAAAGAAAACACCTTAGCTCAGTGGGGAAGAGATGCTGAGAAAGAATCCAAGATGATACACATGTGAAGTACATGTCAGTGGTGGGGGAAAGACTTAGGAAGCAGAAGGAAGATTTAGGGACCAGTTTCCACAAAACAGGGGTGACAGGTACAACCTTAACCAAACAAAGGAGGCTGTGAGACCAGGAAAGGGCTGAGAAACTGTCAGAAGCCACAGGAGAACTGATGACTAGAGGTAACACGATATGCTGGGTGGAATCCTGGAACAGGAAAGGAACACTAATGCAAGAGTGGTGAAATCCAAATAAAGTCTGTAGTGAACTGGCCATACACAGCACAGGCCAACAATAACTTCTTATTGACCAGTGAGTAATAGTTGTGTAAGATGTTAAAGTCAGGGAAATCCAAGAGAAGGGTTTATGAGAATACTGTATTATCTTTACAACTCTCTGTAAATCTAAATGTACTCCAAATTTAAAAAAAATGTTAAGAATTAAATCTAATTGTTTCAATTCACATCTTTATAATGCTTGGATCTCATTAACTAGCACTTGTATACTCTTTTAACACTGTCTGAGACTCCAAGGCACAAGCTGCTAAGTTCTGACTGAGTAAATGTCTTTCAGTGAAAGTCTTCTTTTATTTTGCTTTACTCTAAACAGAAATAACCTTAGGTTTACAGGCTTACAAAGTTTGAGAGTGCTTTAATTGGTTTTCAAGACCCTTAGTGATGAAGTAAACATGAGCAGAATCCCTCTTCCCAAAGAAAGATTTGCTAATTTGCAAATCAGCAAGTTCAGTTAGTTGTACCATTATGTAGTCATGAACTTAAGATGATAGTAGTTCTCAATTTTTAATGTATTCAAATATCATATTTATCAAATATGAATTGACATGAAATCTTTTATTTGCCCTCTCTAAAAGTTATCTAACTCTCTTAGGTCTTAATTTGCATTAATGTGATGATTTTTTTTCAACATTTGAAATGGCATGGCAATTTCCTTAACCACTGCTAAGAGTCATGCCACAGATAGCCCAACTGATACATTTTCTTATTTCAGGAAAACAGACATTTGCACTATTCCAAATGATTACATTACCCCCACCTCCTCCGTCTCTTTTTGAGAAAAGTACAATGCACCTTACCAAGTGGCCAAGTGGCCACCACATGTTGTTACATGATGTTAACAGGTATAATAACAAGATGATTCTAAGGACCAAGAAGAAATCACCATACACACATAATAGAAATGCCATGTATGATGATTAAAGTCAATTGTCAACTTGATGAAATCTGTACCATTCATTTCTGTTGCTGTAATTAAAATACCTGAGAAAAAGCAGTTTAGAGGAGGAAGAGTTTCTTTCTAGAGGGATAGAGTCCATCATGGTGGGAAAGACAACAGGCAGACAGCATGGCAGTAGGAGCAGGAAGCTGGCAGATCACACTGCCTATGTACACAGAAAGCACAGAGAGAAGAGCAAATGGGGCCAGACTATAAAACCTCAAAGTCTTCCCCCAGTGACATACTTTCACCAGCAAGCCTCCATCTTCTAAAGATTCCACAACCTTCCCAGTGCCAATACCTGGGGACCAAGTACTCAAACACATGATCCTATGTAGGATATTTCATATTCAAACCACAACAGGATCTAGAACCAACTAAGAGACAAGCCTCTGGGAATGCCTGTGAGGGGTTATCTAGGTTATGTTAAATGAGGTGAGAAGACCCACCCACAGTGGGTGGCAGTATTCCATGGGCTGGGGTCTTGGAATGAATAAAAAGGAGAAAGCTAGCTGAGTATTCACTGCTCTCTGCTCCTTGACTATGGATGTAATATGACTAAGCTCTGCCGCTATGGCTTCCCTGCCTTGATAGACCATACCCTCAAACTGTGATCCAAACAAACCCTTCCTTTCTTAAGTTATCAGGTATCTTGTCACAGCAAGAACAAGCAACAAATATATCACAAAATTAATATGAATTCCATATGGTACATGTTCAGAGGGTGCCAGTCTGCCTCAGCTTCTCTGCCTCAAGTTCAATTGGAACAGCAGAACCCATAACTGAGTACTCATTTGCATGCAATATATTTCTGTATCAGGAGTACATCTCCATTGGAGCTAGGCTAATAATGACCTCATTTTCTGGACCATACTCCCACTTTCCACCCTGCAGCCAGGGGCACACCTAAGTCGGGGTATGCTCTAACATGGAGAGAAGAAAAAAATTACAGACCAGTAACACATTTGTGGTAAGACTTTACTATACTTTTACTTATTCATTTCTGGGATGGCATCTTGCTATGTGGACCAAGCTAGGCCTGAGATTGCAATACTCCCGCCTCAACCTCCCAAGTTTCCAGGATTACAGGCATGTGCCACTGAGTCTAGCTTTACTGTATTTCCAAAGATGTCAGCTGGACAGAGAGCTGATCAAACAGCTGAAATGCAAGTGCAAACAAACAAAACTACTGTAGGACGGTAAAGGATGGAGAAATGAAGAGGACTCAGATAAGGATCTAGGAGCATCTGAGCGAGACCCTGAGTGATTTTGACAGAGACAAAACAGGTTTCAAACATTGGGAACAAAGTGTGTAAAAGTGTAGTGTGAAAATGAATAGTCAGTTTGAGTAAAGCTGGATACTTCAGTGTGGTAGAAATGCAAGTGGCTTACAAGAGGTAAGTCAGGGCTGGGGAAATGGCTCAGTGGGGAAGAGCACATGCTGCACAAACATGAGGACCTAAGTTTGAATCCCCATTACCCATGTTAAAAAAAAAAAAAAAGATGGGTATGTCTACAGAGAGGCAAAAACAGGACTGCTGAGGCTTAGCTGTTAACCTAGATCCAGATTCACTGAGAGGCAAAAACAGGACTGCTGAGGCTTAGCTGTTAACCTAGATCCAGATTCACTGAGAGGCAAAAACAGGACTGCTGAGGCTTAGCTGTTAACCTAGATCCAGATTCACTGAGGCTCTGTCTCAAGGAAAAAAGGGGGAGTGATAGAACAGGGTACTCAATGTCCTCCTCCTCTGACCTCTGTGGGCCCATGGGTACACAACTGCACCTATACACATGTGTACGATCATTCCCAACACGAGAGAGAGAGAGAGAGAGAGAGAGAGAGAGAGAGAGAGAGAACAAACAAAGATGAGATGAGACAAGCCAGGAAAAAATGAAAAAAACTTTGAAAATCATCCTAAGGAATCTGGAACTGACTTGAGAGGCCACTGAGCTCTTGAGTGGAACCGGAAAATGACTTAGACCTGTGTTTGAGAAAGCAAACTCTGGAAGCTGTACAGAAGAATGACTGGAAATAGGGAACTTCAGGGAGCATGAGAGAAAGGAGAGGCAGGCACTTTCAGATAGGCAGTTTGTGGGGGAATGGAGAGAAGAGGGGTAGGTAGCAACGGAGACTTACTGGGTCTAAAGCAAGAAGGCAGTGATGTCAGTGAATAAGATGAGCATTGTTGAAGGAGAAGTAAGGAAGAGAATTCTCTTCAATGCACTGCCCTGGAAGTAGAGTGAGGTAACAGCAGGCAATTACCATTTTTGTCATTGACCTAGTTCAATGCTGTTTGTCTTTTTAATCTATGTACATTAATAAAATAAAAAAACCAATTAAAAGAAAAGGGTCAGGGTTCAGAGCAGGAGAAAAAGGTAAATATTACCTGAAATATGGTACAATAGCATGGCATCATGAATTTGAATAAAATATTTTGATACAAGTCACACATTTCCCTTGGTGAAAATCCAAGGGAAAGGTAAATATTAGTGTATACAAACAACAGAATCCTACTCAAAAAAAGAAGAGAAAGAAACGAACTACTATAGGCAACAGGGATGAATCCTAAAAAAATTACTCAGCAGAAGCCAAACAAAACAGAGAGGCTAAATCATTACATTTTTTCACAGAACTGTAGAAAAAACAAACTTACCAACAGTGACATAAAGCAAGTGGCTTTGGGAAAGGTGGGGACACACAGTCTTAGGGAGACATGTGGGGAAACGTTTGGGTGACATAAAATGTTACCTTGAGAGACGATATAGGTCTCAATAGTAAATTGTACACCTTAAGTGTGTAGTTTCCCCTGCACATATTATCATGCATACTTCACTAAGCTGTTGAAAACCTCAAACAAAAGTTAAAAGGAGGTATAATCAGTTTCTTCTCTAGTCAATCTTATTTTAGGCAGAATTTCCTCAGCTTTTTCAGCTAAAATCCATTTTACAGTCACTTTTCTTCTTGTGCCTTAGCCAGTTATAAAACTAACAATGACAAAAATTCACTTTGAAACATTAAACATCTAAGTCATAAAACTGACAACTTCTGGCCAACATGAAGTAGCCAAAGTTGCTTTGGTGAACTGGTAACTACAGACCAAAGCAAAGGAGCTTGGCATCCTGGTAAGAAAATGCATGGCTTCCATTATCTCAGTCATTTTATCTCTGAAGGCTTCCCCAGGGTCATGCCCATATGCCAAGTTTAGAAAGAATAGCATCAATCTAAAACCTTCCTCTTCTACAAGTCTAAAACAGATTAAAAGATTCCCCTGGGGCCAGAGAGATGGCTTAAAAGGTAAGGGCAATGACACCAAGCCTGATGATGTCAGTTGGATCCAGGGAACCCACAAGGTACAAGGAGAGAACCAACTTCTTCAAGTCGTCCTCTGACTTGCACATTTGTGCTGTGGCATGGACCTCATACATTCACAAACACACACACACACACACACACACACACACACACACACACACACACACAGAAAATGTAAAAAAAAAATAACTACCAGAATGTATCTTAAGGGAATTTCATCTCAAAAATGATGAAATTATTAACTAATAATAATATGCAATTCAAACTGGGTTTTGGTTACAAAACATTCACAAAAATGGTAACTTCCAAAAAGAACACCCAGTAGCTACAGTCTTGAAAGTTCAGGACACTTTATTACTTTATATGAATAAATATGTAACAGGCTTTCTTACTAAGCTTCATGTAGACCACAGAGGTGATAGGCCATGCATAGCTCTTTGACTGGATAAGAAAGATTCAGGTACACATACCCATGCCTTTTATCAGAGTGGTTCTTCCTAAGGCAGGAAGGGCCAGCTTCCACAGGTAACTGTAGCTCAGGATAGTCAATGACTAATACCATAAGGAAAGATTTGAACAATGACTTTCCAGGGCATGTCAGCAAATCTACCCTCATGTCATACATGTCAAACGAGGACAGACATAAAATCTGAATTTTGGCAGGACTCAAAACACAGACCAGCAGAATATTTTGCACAGGACTTTACTATCAGGCCTAAAACTGAATATTTGGAGTGATTAGTGAATGACTGGTATAAACAGCTTAATGCAGGGTGTTCTATCAGAAGTCAAGTGCCCTGAATTTCTACACAAACAACACTCAAGTTATGTGCCATAGGGAAAAAAAGTGTGACTAAGATGTAGAGAAGCCAAGAATTTTAGTCTCAGTTTATGGCTTCCTGTAGCAGAACCAAAATAAGGTTCTGTATAATCTCCTTCCTTCCAGAAAATCCACTTAATTACCTTGTCCTGGTTAGCTTTGTCAACTTGACACAACCTAGAATTATCTGGGAAGAGAATCTCAATCAAGGAGTTGCCTAGATCAGTTTGACAGATAGACATGTCTGTGGGGGATAGTCTTTACTGCTAATTGATGTAGAATGGCCCGGCCCACTGTGGGTGGCACCATTCCTTAGGCTGGTTGTTTCTTAACTGTACAAAAAAGATAGCTAAGCATAAGGCACAGCAAGCAGCATCCTCCATGTTTTTTGCCTTGCTTCTTTGGCTGTGAAGTTACTTCCTTGGTCAGAGGAATAGGAAGCAGGCCTGCCTTCAAGTTTCTTCCCTGACTTCCCTCAGTGATGAATGATGACCTGTAATTTTAAGTCAAATGAGCCTTTTCTCCCCTAAGCTGGTTTTGGTCAGTGTTTTGTTTGTTTGTTTGGTTGGTTTTTTAAATCATAGAAACAGATATAAAACTAGGAGAAACTATGATTTTTAAATGATTTTTAAGATGACCACAGTAGCTTGCAAAATTTGGAATTCTTAAACCTGTTAAAATCTTCAAGAATACAATCTATCCCTATTAGGCAGGTTTCTCCCTCAGCTTTTAGAGACGATTTTTAAAAAGACAATAAAATGTGTTACACACAGATAGGTGCAAATAATCACAATTACTTGTAACTGTTATTTACTACACATAAAATGCCATCCACAAATTGTGTATGGCAGTTCAATACCCCTTTGGTTGATGTTTTTGTACAGTCATTCATTTTGAGTTACCATTAACTGACATTTCCAAGACGTCCTTAATCCACAGATAAATGAAGTAGCCTCGGGTACTGTGAATAAAAATGACTCACTCATGCTATTACCAAGAATTATGACTTGAAATAGAAAACTGTGGGGTCGACTAGGAAAACACAGCATGAATATGCTGCGCTGGAGAGCCTGCCTTCATGGTGAGGCTGGGAGTGGACATCCGTTCTGATGCTATTCATTTCCACAACAGGAAAATGTCTCCACAATTTTAAAATAGTTGCCTTATACAATGTGTAGGATGACTTTCTCCACTAAATAGGAGTCGAAGTCACAAAGGTCATGCCACCAGAGCAGATACTGCTACAGGACAGAGCTTTTCAAAGCATCACAGACATCCCTCGCAGAGCACAGACTCCACCAGGAAGAGGGACTCTCCCAGCTGAGAATCCCGAGCCCTACAGCAGTGCCTGCATTCCTCCACCCAACTGAAGCCCTACAGACCACAGGCCCTCAGGAACTCCCGGTGAGCAGGCCAGCCTGTGGAGCCCTCGTGGTGCGCACTGGGACGCAGCCCGCCGAGCCCAAGAGCCTTACGCGTCGCTGCTCCCAGAGGTGCAGGAACCCGAGCCGCTGGCTCCGGTGTCCGAGTCGCCCTCCTCCTCTTCCTGTGAGGAGAGATCTTCGCGGAGCTCGGCAGACCGCCCACGCGAGTCTCGCCACGCCGGGGCCTCAGTAGTCTGGGTCTCCGAGCTCGGAGGGTAGAGACTTAAAACTCCAGCGTCAGCCCTCTGCGCCGCCATCTTGCCCGGACCTGGCCACGTGACCACAGTACTCAGGGCGATTGGCTGCCGCGCCAGTTGCCGGGGAGACAGAGAAGCTTTCGGGCGAAAACGCGGTGGACTGAAGAAATCCAGAGCCCACTGGCAGTGCTGCCTTCCCTACTCTGTCTCTCCCTCCGTGTTCCCCCTGGGGCAGTGTGACCTCCACAAAGAGGACAGGCACGGCTTCTTTTCTTAGTTTCCTTTTTCTTTCAGTGCTGGAAAGCTTTCATTTTGCTCTTTGTCTGCTTTTTCTTTTTTCTATCTTTTTAGTTGCTGTACAAAGGATGGGTTTCATTTGTTCCATCTTTCTATAACAAACAGCCTTAAAAGTAAAGGGCTTCTGTATGCATACACATAAATACCTCAATTATTTTTTCTAGTCCTTTAAAAAATCATTTTGAGGATGGGGGTATAGCTCAGAGGTAAGTGCTTGTCTATATAATACGCAAGGCCTTAGGTTCAAACCAAAAATCAGTCTTTTTTATTTTTGAGTCTTTTCCCCCACCAATCTTTAGTAATCGTAGAAAATGTAATTTCATTACATTTTCATACATGTATATAATGCACTTTGATCGTATTCAGCCCCATCACCCCTTTCCCGTGGTTCCCTTCATATTCCAAAATGGTCCCTCTTCTACTCATGCTGCCGCCCCCTTTAAATCTAGAGTCTGCGCACGAGAGAAAACATGCAGCATCCTTTTCTGAATTTGACTCATTTCACTTAATATGATGATATCCACTAATTTTCCTATAAACAACATGATTTCGTTGTTCTTTACGGTTGAGTAAAAGCTCCACTGTGTGCACACGCCATATTTTTTGTATCCATTCATCCACTGATTTGCACCCAGACGCACACCATAACTAGCTATTGTGAGTAGTGCCACAGTATAATTGGGTGCACAGGGTGCATTACTATGTATGTTGACTCCAGTTCCTTCTGGGAATGTTGAGTTGTTTCTACATTATATATTTACAACATTGCACACATTCTACATTTCTCTCAAGCAGATATGTGGAGTGCTTCAAATGGGTGTTAAATCAACTTCATGTTTATTTTCTAACAGAAAATTTTAGATGCTTCTTAAGGGTTCTCATCACTGAAGTAGGAAGCATAGAGAAGTACACGTTGCCTGTGATTTGTAAATACCTACATCAAGTAGTTGTAGTACATAATAGCTATCATTGCTTGAGTCAGCCATGTAATGAAGTAAATATTTTCCCTGTATCAAAATAAGGAAACTGAGGCTTACTGAGATAAGACATCTTGTCAATGGTTATGCTTGTGGCAGGCAACAAAATCAATCAAGAAATGAGCTTAAGTCTGTACATAACATTACCTTTTCTCCAAAGGACCCAGTTCTGTAGTCTCCCCTTATTGTGGATTCATTTTTCAAGATCAGCCAAAGTGAGAAATTATTAGATGATAAGTTCCAAAAGTGAACAATGTGTAAGTTCTAGATTGTGCATCACCCTGGATAATGTGGTAAAATCTCACATAGATCTGCTCCATCCCACCTGGGTTGTAAACCTCTTTGTCCAGTGTATGCACACCCTAAATGCTACTCATCCATTAGCCACTTGGTAGCTGATTGGATTAGAAGACAAACCAACAAGGTGTCAGCACCACAGCGATTGTATTCAAGTAAGAAGGTCAATAGCAGGTCACAATGCCTAAATTATTCACCTAGTGTCATCACTCTGGGTCAGGAAAAAAAAAAAGCATGCTTTTCCCCTTCTAATACAATCCACACAGAAGACTCCTATGACCTCAAAAGTTATGGGGACTTCTTCCTACAAGCAAACAAGTGAGCAACTGTGGACATCAGCAGTGTATCCCCTAATCCAATTCAGTTCTGACACTATCTGGAGATAGTGTCAGATCCCACAGGGTGAGGGTTCACTCCCCAAGATTGCCATCCCCACCTACGCACTTTTAGGTAACAGTCATAAGCAAGCTACTGTTACTTTTTTAAAAAAGACACATTTATTAATTTAATATCCACTAGTGTTTGCATGTGTGTGTGTGTGTGTGTGTGTGTGTACCACATGTGTGCTTGGTACCTGCAGAGACTAGAGGAGGGAGTTAGAGCCCCTTGAACTGGAGTTACAGATGGTTATGAGCTGCCGTGTGGGTGCTGGAACTGAACCCAGGTCCACTGCAAGAGCAGCAAGTGCTCCTAACTATCCAGCCATCTATCCATCCACCCCACCCCACCCAATTTGTTTTTACCTGTGATTTTGACCTAGTGGCTATAAATCAAGGTTCCCATAACTCCTTTCTTGAATTTAATCAATCTTCTGAGTAACTCACAGAATTCAGGGAAGTACTTATAGTTATAATTTTATTATACATGGTATTATGAAGAATACAGATGAGAAGATGCAGAGGGTGAGATATGGGAGGAGTGCAGATCTTCTGTGACTACTCTAAATGTCCTACCTCTAGGAAGCTCCACATCCTCAACTACCTGGAAGTTCTATAAACCTTGTCCTTTTGTGTTTTTATGGAAATTTAACTACATAAGCCTGACTGGTCACAGACTGGTTGAAAGCTGCAGTAATGTGGCATGTGCCTGCTCTCCATCATTTCTTCCTGGGATGGAGCAGGATTCTCTGGAATGAGAAGTGTCTTATGACCTACTATCAAGCAGGGTTAGGTCACTGTAATGAAGTTATTCTAACAGTTATTTTATGTTTCTAATAAGAAATATTTACTTTTCACCAGTCTAAAACATTCAAATTTACCTAAGATTTCATTACAAAATAAAGCGCTTTAGGAACCTGTTTAATAAGTTAGTCTTTCTTCATTTTTAAAAAAAATCTTTTTGAGACAGAGTTTCCTTGCAGCTCCAGCTAACCTGGAGCTCACCATGTCGACTAGGCTGGCCTCGATCTCACAGAGATCCACCTGCCTCTGCCTCTGAGCACTGGAATTAAAGGTGTGGGGCAGCATTTCTTCATTTTTAAAACAACCTATTAGAAGTAAAAAAAAAAAAAAAAAACCTTTAAAAAGCAAAATATCCTCTTTTCTTCCCACATATAATAGCGGTTTTTTTTTTTTCCTATGAGCATTTAGCCATTTTCCACTGTGCTCATAAACCTCCAATGGTACTTCATTAGAGAACAGAGTCCAAACTCTGTATAGTCTATTGTTTTTGGAGGGGTGGGTCCAGGGTCTCCCTGGAACTCACACGCACTTTTTAGAACAGGTTGGCAAGATCCACCTGCTTTGTCTCCAGAGTCCTGGGATTAAAGGCATGTGCCACTATGCTCGGCCAAACTTTTACAGTCTTTAAAATTTTTTTCCCCCTCAGTTCAGGCTGGTGGTGTAGCTCAGTTGGTAGAGTGTTTGCATATCAAGCATGAAGCCCCAGGTTCAATCCGAAAATAATATAAATCATATAAAATAGTCACAATGGTGTACACCTCTAATCTCAGCACTAGGGAGGTAGAGGCAGGAAGATCATAAATTCAAGGTCATCCTTGATTACATATCGAGGCTGAGGCCAAACTGGGCTATATAAGACATGGTCTCAAAAAAAAATGTTCCCATGACTACAAATAACTATCAATTAGAAATTAAATTTCTTCATTTCCATTATATATTAACTAAATTAAGCCTGTCTGATCAAAAGGTATCACCAAGGGCTTATTAAATGTACAGATTTTGAGGCCTTTCCAACAGAATCTGCAGAGAAATCTAGATTTTTAAAATGAGGGTGCTGAGTGGTTCTATGAACTTGGGAGTGATGCTCTCAGCCTTGCCCCTGTTCTGTGCTTCTTAAGTATAGGGCAGCTGACATGTCTCAAGCATGCTGGAACCACTGGCACCTGGTAAATTTGAGCCTGGCTGAACTCTCTCTGAATCTCTCTGCAGAATCCATATTCATATAACCTTGAGCACACCGACCTCTTCAAGTTTCCTGCTCTGTAAATTCAAATAGTGGTACTACTTCACAGAACTGTTTGGAATCCAGTGAATTAATGCATTTAAGTATCTAGTACAGTGTCAGCAAAACGGAGCTGTTCTTTATGATTTACAGTCCTCATACTGCAGAACGCTCCCTCTCCAAAATTCCTTTGTTCAAGTACAGTATTACTTTTTCCTTAAAGACTCAGCAGACTTCTTTTAAAACGCTTCCCTCCGGACACTTCTACTACCTGTGGAAGAATGCTTCTTTCCACCTTTCCCTCAGTCAGTTATCCCACAATGCTTTCATTAGATACAGATGGTTTATTTGTATCTAAATTGTTTAAGACTGTATCTCTCTGTCACAAAATGACAGTCTCTTGGGAAGCCTACATGAGTGACCAGCTTAAAAAATATCTCACCTTTCACACTTCCACAAATTTGAATTAAGGAGAAAAAAATGTCACATGAAAGTCTATCTTCTAAGAAAAGTTCCCTGGACTAGATCATCATAGGTTCTGTCAAATTCCTTGGCTAATTAACTTCCATTTCTTAGCTTCATAGACACAAAAGAAAAAATTAAGTAATTCTTTTTTATTCTTAATCATATTTCTGATCTTCTATACCACATTTGTACTAACTTTATTAATATTTAGTATCCTTAGATGTATTAGGAGGGGCTGAAGAAAAAAAAACTGTCAGCATTTTCAGGGCCTTAAAAAATTGTTAGTCTAACTGCTTCATAATTAGAAATCACAAGCATATAAAATGGGGTATAGTCTCATTTTCTACTTTTTACTGCACAAATCCCAAACATGTGAAGCATGTTTACCTTAATACAAAGGAGATATGAGGTCTCTGTTTCCACAGATTACCATCTCAATCAGGCAAACAATACAATTCAGACATAAAATACTCCAGATAAGAACACAATTAAATATTTACTATTGTTAGCAGGTTCAAGAGCTCTTTCTTTAATAGCAGTAGAAGCTAGCAATGATCAATACATGAAACAGGGCCACAGAAGGTGGTGTTCATTAGAAACTTCAATCCACAGGGCAAACATTTATGCAATG